TTTCTTCAAACATTCCTACAGATTGGGCAGCTTGTTTTAATTTAAGAGGAGTTGAAATATCAAATTTGCTCAACGTAATAAAAGTTTTTACTGGTAATTTTTCACGAATCACTTCAGCTAATGTATCACTCAATGTCCTCGAAACTAGAACTGTGTTTGACGGATTATTATCTATGCTAAGTTTACAACAGATTCTACTTGTCTGTTCTTCTAATTCTTCAACAAATTTACGTAAATTATTTTTATATTTAGTCTCACGTAATTCGGCTATCATTCGATGTGGAGGCGTTGCGCTGTTGAACTCGCCGATAAGTAGGCTTCTCAATTCCTTCCAGTCCTGTGGCAGATCCATATTTAATGTTTTTTTTTAGTTGTTGTATTTAGGCGAAATAATTTAGATTATTTTCACTGGTTTAGACACTAGAAATGCTCATTCGTGATTTAACTAATGTTGTTTTTAAAATTTTTTTTTTTTTTTTAAGTAAGTTTGTTTTGCGTATACAAATAATGTTTTATTTTCGCGAAGTAATTTTTTTAATACCTTTTTAGGTAGTCACTCGCGAGGATATTACTTGTATCCTACCGGCTGCGCCAATTATGTTTTTCGGTTCGGAATATATTAAAAAAAAAGCGATTTTTATTTTAATATATAGCGGAGTCTTTATTGGTAAAGTTCTTTCAAGTTAGATCCCCAATCTTAAACTGATTTTACAAAATGCATTATTCTTATAACTATGGCTATGGCTATTATGTCTGGGGGGTTAAATGTTTATGTTGGATTGATTTGAATAACTGTAATAGTAGGCTCTGGACTTATGTTATTGACAATTGTTAAATGTTTATGTCGGATTGATTTGAATAACTGCAATAGTAGGCTCTGGGCTTATGTTATTGACAATTGGAATCATGGGTATCTCTGGATATACAGGTTGTATGTTGGGTTTGGTAGCTAGCGTATTTGCGTATACGTCACTTATATATATATATATTTATATATTTGCGTTCACTTTCTAAGCACAGCGAGAAATGCCGTAGTTTTTACTTCTAAAATCTACTTGCAAAATGCCAATCTTCTAGCTTTTATAGTTTCCGAGATCTCAGCGTTCATACGGGCAGACAGACCAGTGGCGGATCTAGGGGGGCGAAAGGGGCAAGCGCCCCGGGCGCCACATCTAAGAGGCGCCAAATCGGGTCCGACTAGCAATATATGTTTCGAGAATTCATATTTTCCCGCGGCGCTGCGCATGTAACGCTCCCTATAGAATACAAGTGTAAGTGTTTTATGATGTGATCAAAAGGAAAAGGGACGCTCGAAACGTCATAATAAACTTTCTTGCTTAGAGAGAGAGAGAGAGCGAGCAGTATACGTGTTAGGTTATGCGCGCCTTTGTTTACATACATTCCAATCAAGGCAGTGTTTATACCCGTTACTCGTAGAGTAAAAGGGTATATTGTATTCGTGCAAAAGTATGTAACAGCTAGAAGGAAGCGTTTCCGACCCTATAAAGTATATATATTCTTGATCAGGGTCACTAGCCGAGTTGATATAGCCATGTCCGTCTGTCCGTCTGTCTGTCCGTATGAACGCTGAGATCTCGGAAACTATAAAAGCTAGAATATTGGCATTTTGCATACAGATTCTAGAAGTTCCTACGCAGCGCAAGTTTGTTTCAAAAAGGTGTCACGCCCCCTTTAACGCCCACAATCGCTTATATACGATTTTAAAAATTTAAATATTTCGGAAAAGTAAAAATGCAGTTTTATTGTGTTTATCAATACCTATCGAAATGTAGAAGAAATTTTTCAAATCGGACCATTCGTTAAAAAGTTATGCGTGATCAAAGTTTCTATCTCCATCTCCCTCGCACTCCCTTTACCTGAGTAACGGGTATTTAATAGTCGGGGCACCCGACTATAGCGTTCTCTCTTGTCATAGAGTAAGAAACTATATAGAGGTTTCATTTGCTCTGCCCGGGCCTCTGCCAAAGCTCTGCTGAGAGCCATGTTCGAAGCTAACTTCTTCAAACTTCGGTTTCTCACCACTTCTAACATGTGCGAAGCACAAGCAATAGTATGGGGAATTCTCGCACCTATCCTTAGGAATAAGAGCGACCAGTGCAGCAATAAGAATTCACCATGGGCATGGATTCAGGCTCGATTCGAACATTAGCAAAACTCTCTTTTTTTCCGTTTTTCCCCTACGTGGCATCACTGGCAAAGTCACTCGAGAGCGCGGGCAGAGCAAATGACGGCTCTATACATTATTACTCTATGCTCTTGTTTTCTATTGCAACATTTAATTAAGGTACTAATGCTTCGCTGATATTTATCAAATATTATTCACTGAACCTTCAATTTCTTGATGTTCTAAAAATATATTTCTACTGTTTCAAATTAGGCGTGGAAAACACAAAAATGAAACAAATAAACCAAGTGGTGCCCAGTTCAAAAAAAATCCGGGCAAAAACATAGAGTAATAATGTATAGAGCCGTCATTTGCTCTGCCCGCGCTCTCGAGTGACTTTGCCAGTGATGCCACGTAGGGGAAAAACGGAAAAAAAGAGAGTTTTGCAAATGTTCGAATCGAGCCTGAATCCATGCCCATGGTGAATTCTTATTGCTGCACTGGTCGCTCTTATTCCTAAGGATAGGTGCGAGAATTCCCCATACTATTGCTTGTGCTTCGCACATGTTAGAAGTGGTGAGAAACCGAAGTTTGAAGAAGTTAGCTTCGAACATGGCTCTCAGCAGAGCTTTGGCAGAGGCCCGGGCAGAGCAAATGAAACCTCTATATAGTTTCTTACTCTATGGCAAAAAAACAACACACCGAAACGATAAATGCAAATCATTAGCTGAAATTTATTCTAATGATTTAAATGTTACGGAATTGTATCACGATATCAAAGATGTCATTTTTCCTCTGAAAAGGGCCAATAAAAAGGGAGAAAGTCTTGATCTCACTCCAAAAGGAATACTATTGTATATTTCATCGTTGGGGATACAGGCGTACAAAACACTTGTGACGGCATTGAAAATTTTGCTGACTCTACCATTGTCCGTGGCTTCGTGTGAGCAATCATACAGTAAACTGAAATTGATAAAATCTTATCTCCGCACAACCATGAACCAAGACAGGCTGTTAAATTTAGCTATACTATCTATCGAAAATGAAGTAGCAGCATCACTCGACTACAATGATATTATTGCTGAATTTGCGGCAATCAAGGCCAGAAAAGTTATATTCTAAAAGTAATATTTTTTTGTCTTGCAAAAACACAAATAATAATGTTTTTTTCCGTTGTAACTGACAAAAGAATCGATATGAAATACAATTCTTCAAACATATAAGCTTTTAATAATTAATAACCTATTTACACTTAAAATACTCCTAATGTTATTCGTACAGCAAATAGGGAGGGGGCGGAATCTTTCGCTTTGCCCCGGGCGCCAGCAACCCTAGATCCGCCACTGAGACAGACAGACGGACATGGCTAGATCGACTCGGCTAGTGATCCTGAACAAGTATTATTACTTTATAGGGTCGGAAACGCTTCCTTCTACCTGTTACATACTTTTGCACGAATACAATATACCCTCTTACTCTACGAGTAACGGGTATAAAAATGAAAATTCGGAGCGCAAAACAAAAACACGACCGTTCACTGGGAAGACGCATAGACGATTGATTTGGTGTGACTATATTGGCTCTTATAAATCTCTAACATATAGTAATCCGAATGTGATCAAATATAATGATACATTTTTAAGCTATAATTGTTTTAGTGCCTTAAATTAAAGAAAAAAGTAGTTTGACTTCAAAAACTAAAAAAAAAATTAACCGCATGTGTCCAAGAAGTAAAATTTATAAACAGGACCAAGGCAATGTTTAGATTGCCCGTTTTTATCAGCATTTTAAGGTACCCTCAAAGTTGCAAAATGCAATGCACAATGTCCGATCCATGCCTTTAAGTGGCCAGGAATGCGTTTGGATCGAAAGACGTGATAATGTCAGCACATAGATCTGGTCAATGCAGATCAAAGTTAAGGATGAGAAGAACTTTGGTAGGGAATCACTACTAGAGATATTCACCCAAAAACCTGCAAAAAGGGGATGCATGTTGCTTTGTATACAGCGACTTGGATTAAGCAGAAAAAAGTGGCCAAAGCGATGAAGTTTTGACAAAATAGTTTATTAAAACCCAAGTGTGCCAATAATTTTGTTCAGGGAAATCTATACCATTTCTTGGTTTTTATATTAAATCAATTATTTATAAAAGATAAAGTAATGAAGTCACATGTATTTTTCATTATTCGACTATCTAAATCTATCTATCTATCTATCTATCTATCTTGTCTTATTAAAATATCTGCATATTAGGTAATAAAAAACATTCTTAATGTTCAAAATGCTTGCTGTGCCAATAGCTAAGTTCGACACTGTATATAATACATATGTACATACGAGACGTAAACATATTTTTTGTTCGATCATTTAAAATCAATGAGACACTGGCATGCTATTGATTTACCATAGTTAAATAACACTATCAAAACATCTTTTACCATTAAATTCTAATAAGATATTTATAATGTGCTCAAGTGGTCACAATAGGGGCCTTGGAAAAAACGACAAACTTCTTGAATAAATTCTACGCTGATAACGGTTTACCAATAAATTTGTTTTTTTGGGAAAACTATCTCAAGAAAAATGTAATATTTTTATGGTTTTTGTTAAAATCTTGACTATGACAAAAAAAATTGTGCAGATCACTTAACAGTCCTTATTTTATATCCACATATATTTATTCGTCAAATTTTACAACTTCATCTGTGTATGTGAGATGCATATGGTATAGGGCGGAAATGTCTCTTTCAATAAGATACAAATTCTGAAAAAAAAATAAATATCAGGAGTAAAACAAAAATTTAATTTATCTAATTGAATTTTAAGAAAATATTAAAGGGTTTGTGGTTTAATGAAAACTAGAAAAAAACAATAATTTCGTGTTTTTAACCCGTAAGCGAAAAACAATTTATTTTAAATTAACTTTGGCCACATTTCTGGCCATCGAATCAAAAATGATTGCTTTATTGCCTCGGTGATTAGTTGCAAAAAAACGGAACCATTTTGATTATGCTTCGAGTGGTTTTCCAATTGTATGTTGAGAAGGGTTATCCAATAATTTGGATGGTCTTGGTAGTCGCTGTACTGTGATTTGATGTTAAGCCAGTTTCGAGGGCCATCCAGCGAAAGGAACAATTCGAGTTTCGGATAGTTGCTCATCAATGGTAGATTGGGTACGGATTTAACTAAGCGGCGCGAATACTCCATTTCATTCAGTCTTGCCTCGACGCAGTATTGCTGCTCAAGTTTCTGCAGTTCCAGTTTTGGGTCCAACGCAGCGCAACTTTTGTTTAATGGCAATGCGGAGACTTCGTGATCAATAACAGAAGGTCCTTGCGGTGTGGATACTGATGTCGCATGTTTTAATGCGCTTAATTGTGCTTCTGGAGCGGTATCTACTCGTCGATGCCACAGCGTGCCAGGAACTTGGCTGGCTATAAAAAAAGCACCCGCCAAGGTTATTACACTCGCGGCATAGCTCAGCGCCAGTACGGATACACTGTTGACCAGAAATTTCGTCCACGCAAAGCTGGGCAGCAACTGCACTAGCTCACTGTACGTAAGCCAGCCTCTTCGTAATCCCTGCCGTTCGGCCAGAGTTCGCTCAACACTGATTAATTTATCAAAAAATTTCTCGTTGGATATGTATATATTCCAGTCCTACAACGAAAATGTTTTATTACCGTGGCCTACACTTTTGCTCAGTTTACCATAGCGGAAAGAAACTCTAGCTCCATTTCCTTCAGTTTTTGTTCGGTCATGTTGCCTTCATTGGCCCAGTCTTCCAAATAGAACCGTTCGTCATGGCCGGCATAAAACTTTGTGGAAACCATCTGAAAGGAAAAACATTCAAATTGCCGAATAAGATTACCAGGAAAATTCCAACGCTATGCATATCCAACATAGTGCCTTGTCTTTCATTACTGCCCACATGGTCATGTATTCGCGTGTCAGTACAGCGGTTGGATTCCTGGGGTGCTTCTGTGTTGGTTCTTAACTCAGGCCGATCAACAGGTGACCATAGCGACTCACCAGAGACACAACGAACAGTTCTTGAGGAGTGATTCGACAGCTATACCCCGGGTCGATAGCACTTAAGCGGTCCAGATAGATCAGTGCCATAATTAGAGAGCAAGGCGTGGCCTGCACTTTTGCAGCAGCAACGCAACTTAAGCGATGCAAGGAGTGACCCCGATGAGGCTCCGAGAACATTTCTGCCGCGTACTCCGCCAACGGCAGGGAAACTTCCATGTCTGTATCCGCTGTTCCCACACCATAGTAAAGGCTTTTACGTATTCGATTTATAAACACGTCGTGCTGCACAACCTGCTAAACTAACAAATATTTAACCACTCTTTACACCAACAGTTGGTTGATATCTACCTTTTTTGTTGCAGAAACCAACTTACTGCGCCCCATTTGTATAATAGGTCCACAGAAGAGCTGAAATCTTTCTTAAAAAAATTAATGTTAGTCTGAATTTTTGGCGATTTTAACGCTTATCAAAGTTTGTGGCTGAGCTGTCAAAATATTGATGGCACTATCTATACTACGGATGGTTAGGAACCAGTTGCAGTTTATCAATTTGAAAATATATCGAAATAATATGGACACTACTACTTCCCAAGAGTTTCCTCGGTGTTCGTCAAAATAGCGACGGTCGGTTAGCGACGAATACGGCACGGTGGAAAAAGGGGAACAGTTTTTATATTAAATATTTTAGCAGTTAGCAAAATGAAAAAACAAATAATATGCTCAAATAAAAAACTTTATTCTTGTACATTTTGGAAAATAAATTATGAAATAATTTCTCCAACAAAGGCAATTTGCAAGCATATACGAAATATATCAAAAGATTGAAGACCCAAGATAAAAAATGAAAAATTGCTTACGATTAAAAGCCAGGACAAATTTAGGGCGTATTATTAAGGAGGGTATAGTTAATTCGGCCAAAAAAGGCCTATTTTCAAGAATTTTTTCACGCGATACGGTTTATGTCAGATCAATTATTTTATAAGCATTAAAGTACAACATTTAAACTACGTTTTCACATATGTTAATAAAAAAATAAATGAGCCGTTCGCAGCAAGGCTCCGTAGGAGCCTCCAAGAAAAAAGATTTTGCGGTGAACAGATTAACTCGTTACTGGATCATCAGAAAAAAACAAACAAAAAAAGTTTATTGCCCTCTTCCCACAGAGCTCCATCCACCATCCGATGAACGGATGGTCCATAAGGTTTTGCCGTTCCGAAAATTCCCAGTTAGTTCCCCATCCAAATTTGACGGACTTTTTTATGCGATAGTTAGGCGATGTTTTTTTTGTGCAACTCTGAGTTCTTCTTCTTGACAGTGGAAATTGGAACATTCACTACGAAAATTTAAAAAAATAATGGCGGGTAACTTTTGAACAGGAAGGCGCCAATTCAAAAAATGCTGTTTATACTTGTAATAAATAATTAATTAGTGCTCCATCCGTGTGGCAGCATTAGGTGTTGCTCCACTCTTTCCTAGCGCAAAAAACAAATATTTATATATAATGAACTTGATTTGTTACCATTTAGACAATATTGGGCAATAGCTGTTTATATTTTGTCTGCAGGCTGGCAAAAATCTGCAGACGTATTAGTTCGTTTTGAATGTTCGCGTAGATCACTTGCAGTCTGTTACCAAGTATCATTTATAACGCTGTTGTGCTCATTTTAAATGTTGTGCAAAATGCAACGGGCTAATATAATGGCATATAATGCCCTCTTCCCATAGAGTCCATTCGTTCGAAACGGTTGGGATTTTTGACAAATGTGAAACTCCGATTCCCACAGAGCACATCCACCATCCACCATCCGATAACAGCTGATCTGAACAGCTGTGGCTCATCACAACAACATTTGAACAACATTTAAAATGAGCACAACAGCGTTATAAATGATACTTGGTAACAGACTGCAAGTGATCTACGGGAACAACCAAATCGAACTTATATGTCTGCAGATTTTTTCCATCCTGCAGAAAACCGCTTCAATATTGTCCAAGTTTGTTATATATAAATGTTTTTTTTGTTTTATTATAATTTCCTTTTTTATTTCATTTTAAATGTTCTGCTCCATGTTGTGAGTACGGTATTCGCCTAGGAAAGAGTGGAGCAACACCTAATGCTGCCACACGGATGGAACAGTAATTAATCAATTATTACAATTATAAACAACATTTTTTGAATTGGCGCCTTCCCTTTTCAAATGTTACCCGCCTTTATTATTTTGAATTTTCGTAGTGAATGTTTCAATTTTCACTGTCTAGAAGAAGAACTCAGAGTTGCGCCGAAAAAACATCTCCTAACTATCGCATAAAAAGTCCGTCAAATTTGGATGTGAAACGAACTGAGAATTTTCGGAACGACAAAACCTTATGGACCATCCGTTCAACGGATGGTGGATGGATCTCTGTGGGAAGACGGCATTAGTTAATATGTATCTAGAGGTAAAGCCTAGTACTCAGATCGACGAAAACCGTACGCCAGTCATGAGAGAGAGCGAGAGGCAAACAGCTGGCGTTCACTTTACGTCGTGCCTTTTTTCACCTCGGTACTCAGATCAACGAACAAATACCAGAAAATTTCATAGCGTTGCCAGTCTGCTGAAATGAACTTTGGGTGAACGCTAGCGGAAAGAACAAAAAATGTAATCTTTTAGCGTGCGCTTCTCACTGAACATTATAAGAAATGGAGGGAAAAACTCAAAAAACTCGCAAAAGTCAATTGCAGGAGTTTACATGTGAGGACAAAATAACATTAATACTATCTGGGGTTCCTCTTGTCAGTGCAAAATGTTTTTTAGGTCAAGAATGTACGAAAAAACATAATAAAAGTGCAGCCATGAACTTTAAATTAGCATATGATTATCAGTAAATTAAAAAAAAAGCAACTGTTAAATTTAAATTGTGTTGTTTTTTTTAATTTTTTTGTACAGCGGCAGTTTTGTCTTGCCAAGGAAGTTGAAGAAGACATAGACGTTTTTCTTGGCATGGTGGCAGTGTGAACCCCAATTGAAATTTTTTTTGTCCTTTTTTTTAAAATTTGTTTTTGAATGCACAACCATTAAAGAATATTTTCTTAAATTCATCCGAGTAAAACTTCCGAAGTTATGGGCAGTTGATCGTAGGTGAGTTAGCTCGTTTTGTATGCGATTTTTTGGTGTCCAAAACTTTAAAACGCTCTTCTGCAAAATTTCCAATTTTAAAGTCGGCGAACGCGATCCTGCAAAATCTACTGAACGAATCGTTTTCAAATTTTGCACATAATTTCTGTACCTAAATCCGCAGCTACTGACGTCGATATTTTTTTTATAATGATTATTTTTTATTTTTTAATAACAAATATATCGAAGCTTAAATCACGTTTTTGACTTTAAAGTGTTAAGCCTAGTACTCAGATCGACAAACGAGTGCGCTAGCGTAAAAGCTTTAATGTTTCCAGTGTGACCAAAATTTCGAGAGTTCATCAGACTTAAGCGTCCTACGGTCGTACTGTCAATCAGCTGGGTTTGTTGACAAGCAGTTATAATTCAAATATCGTATATGCGGAAAAGAGCCTTTAAAAGATATTATCAATTACCTTGGCAAGACAACTCTGCTGCTATACAAAGAAATTAAAAAACAATACAATTTAAATTTAACAGTGTTATTTTTAATTTACTGCTAATTATTTGCTAATTTAAATTTTATAGCTGCACTTTTATTATGTTTGTTCGTACATTCTTGACCTAAAAAACATTTTGCACTGACAAGAGGCACCCCAGATAGTATTAATGCTATTTAGTCCCCACATGTAAGCTCCTGCAATCGACTTTTGCGAGTTTTTTGAGTTTTTCGCTCTATTTCTTATAATGTTCAGTGAGAAGCGCACGCCAAAAGATTAAATTTTTTATTCTTTCCGCTAGTGTTCACCCAAAGTTCATTTCAGCAGACTGGCAACGCTATGAAATTGTTGGGTATTTTTTCGTCGATCTGAGTACCGAAGTGAAAAAAAGGCTCGATCAGAAACTCCCCAATGTTACAATCAGAAAGGCATTTTCCAAGTTTTAACATAGGTGGAGTTCTATCGTTAAATAATCTGTAAAATATTTATAATATGTTTTAGATCAGTGTAATGTTGTTCAATTGAATTCAAGTAAATTATAATATCGTTCATATAGACGTAACAGGTTTTTCCAATAGTGGGCGCATTTGTAAAAATCAAATGTTTTTATTGTTAATGGAGTAAGCGGTTTTTTCGATATCCAATTTTTCATTAAAATTTAATGGAATCCTGATTCTAATCAATTGTCGAAAAATACTTGGCCTTCCCTAAATTAGCCAATATTTCTGATAGATACTGCATTGCCTATTATTCTGGTATTGTATTATATTACTAGTCTAAGCTTAGGACTACTATATTCATTAAGTCCCATTTTCGGAACTTCTAATACTGGAGAGTTATATCTGATTCTACTAGGTCTTATAAAATTTTCTTTTAACATTCTATCGACTTCTTTATTTACGAAATCTGAGACTGAGGTTTGGTTTTTTATACCCTTGCATAGGGTATTATAAATTTGGTCAGAAGTTTGTAACGCAGTGAAGGAGACGTTTCCGACCCTATAAAGTATATATATTCTTGATCAGGATCAAAAGGGGAGTCGATATAGCTATGTCCGTCTGTTTCAATACCGTTTGCGAGCTCAGTATAAAAGCTAGCGATCTGAAACTTTCACAGTCGTGCTAAAACATGTGTACGCAGATCAAGTTTGAAAAACGATCGGACGTCTATATCCTATAGCTCCCGATCAGATGTCTATATCCTATAGCTCCAATAGCAACAATTGAGTGAAATCGGTTAAAATTTAACGATTTTTAGGTTATTTCGCGCAGTATATAAGCTATTGACATGAATCTTTCCAAATCGTATTTTTTTATGCATACCTTTATCTGGGTAAAAGCGCGTGCCGATCGGACGTCTATATTCTATAGCTCCCATAGGAATAATAGGGTGAAATGGGTCAAAATTTGATATTTTTTGAATACTTCGCGCAGTGTGTAAGCTTTTGACATACATTTTTCCAAGTCTTATTTATTTACTCATATCTTGATCAGGTTAAAAGCGCTTACAGATCGGACGATTTTAGCTTCCGTAGGAAAAATTGTTAAAAGCTGCGAAAATATCCCTTTTTTTCTATTTTTATTTGACAATTTTGCAGTATAAAAGCTATTGACATGAAACTATGCAGATCTAGTTTATTTATGTATACCTTATTTCTTCTTTAGCTACTTTTTTAGTTTGAGCAATTTCGGCAGTCTGCAAGGATATTAAAACTTCGGCTTGTCGAAGTTATCTTCCGTCCTCGTAACTTGTTTTTATTTCGCCTCGAATGTCAATATCAACTGAAATTTTTAAATCTATCTCAAAATCTCCTAATTGATTAGAGCTTCAAATTTTAATATTAATAATATTAATATTAATATTAATTAGTTTTGTTGATTTTCAAATATTTTTTATTTATTTTTTTTTATTATTTAAGTGCACCTGGAAGGCATGCGACAGACATTGC